CTACCAATTATACAACCCAAGTCAGAGTGCCTCTAATGCTTGCTTTTCCTCAGAAGTATTGTTCAGGAAACACATTATCCTTTTCATACTACTAGGATATCATTTCATTCCCTGAAGCAGAAGCAGGTCTAATGAGGCGTAAGTGACACCATGATGCTGTGCCAGGCCTAAGGGGCATCCAGAACTGTGGGCAGGATGTATGAAAGATGGCTGCAGTCAGGCATTCAACATTCCTACTTTATTACAGCTGTCCAAGCAAAGAAGACAGCAGCAACAAATACACCCCCAAAGTTGGGGGGTGACTCAATGACAACATCCATGGTCGAGCAGTAATTTACCAAATATGTCTGCTCAAAATGCCAAGGCACCTATTTCAAGGGCTGCAGTCCTTTGCACTAAATACACTGCTGCCTTCCTAAAACATGACCCACAAACCAAAGGTTACAAAATAAAAAGTCCATCTTGAACACTGCCTGTGAAAGGTTAGCAGGAGAAACCATTTGTTACAATGAAAATATTTGTATACAGTGCTTTAGTATTTACAAATCACTTAAATATTTTTATTTGACCTTTATAATTTAACATATTTTACCTTACTTGATAGTCCCATGCCTGTCAGATAAATACAACAAAATTACTGTTCCCTATTATACAGAGGTAGAACGTGAAGCTTGCCGAAATCGTAACCTGTCCACAATTCCAGAGGCTTCTTGAAGATTATCAAGATTATCAGGTTATTATCTGGTTCCATTGCATGGCTCCCCCCACAAAAGAAGCAGTCCACAGAGGCTTAAGTTTTAATGTACATCCCTATGCATCTAAGAAGGACTTAGAACATGTAAAAATAATGGAACCCTTTGAGAAACACTGGTCAACCATACAAAAAACAAAATGTGAAATTTAAACTTAACAGTTTTGTACAAACAATATAGTATAATCCAAAAGGAACTTCTAGCTAAGATTTTACTATAATGTTCTCAGAGGCTATGAGAATGCCTGTAGCTGAAAATATCAATTCCTGTGGGTACCTCAGCGATTAAATTCCCTAGAGAATCAATACCTTCCCATGTACATCAAATTCTGCCTACAGGAACCAGGCTGCGCCAAGGTTTCAAAGTACTCTTGAGTCATTTGTTCGAAAAACCTTTTTACCGAGTCCCTACCATGTGCTAGACACTCTTTTGAGTATAAGAATATGTAAACGATTATGAAAAAAATGGTATCTGCTACCAGGTAACTAATGAAAAGCCTTTGAATGTGACAATTACAACTTAGTATGACACTTCCAAGAGAATTATCCTGAGTCCTTTAAGAACACACCAAAGGGGCACTGAACCCAGCCTGGAAGATCCCATTAGAATATCGTCAGACCTAAGTCTTGAATAATAACCCACTAATACCAGCACTTTTCATGTACTGGAAGGCATTAAACTGATAAACCCATCCAGGGAACTGCAGATTCTTAAATATAGCCAGAGCACTGAATATTAAAGGAAAGAAAAGCACATAGTTCAGGTAGAGAAAAAATAAATGAAATAGTTATAGAGGACCCTATATGCCAAGCTAGCTAACATTTTTTGAGCACCTGCTATGTGTTTAGGTATCCTACTAAATGTTTTCTTGCATTCAATCCTCACCACGACCCACTGAGCTAAGAATAATTATCTTGCAATTGATGGAAAACGCAAGAAGTCAGAGTACTTGTCAGTATTATGAGGTTTTAAATGGCAGAGACAGAACTGGAACCCAGTCCGGATTAAATCCTAAATGTGAACTCATACTCTCTACTCCACTGCCTCTTTAAATGAAGGCTGCTAGGGGGAGCCATTGAAAGGCTTTTAAACTAAGAAGTGAAGTGATCAGATTTGCTATTTAGACTGTGTGGAAATCTGGATAAAGGAGGTGAACCTACAAACAGAAAAAGGAAGCTGCCAATGTTTATACTAACCCATGAGAGAAATGAGAACATGAATTGTGGCAGTAGGGATGAAGGACACAGAATCAAGAGATTTTCAGGAGGGAAAATTTTCAGTTCTTAGTGCCTAAATGTGAAGGGTTAGTATAAGAGAGGAATCCAGAAACCTAGCTTGGGGAACTTAGCTGGGATGTTGTATCATCTACCAAGAGCACAGAAGCAACAGGTTTCGTTTGTTCAGCTAAGTGTCTACAGAGCATCTCCTAAACGTAAAACACTTTCCTAGATCAAGGGCCAAGGGCCTTTGATGAAGGGCCTGAAATCATGGCCCTTAGTTGTTGGAAATATTCTTCAGAGCAAGTGACAAAGCATTAAAAACTACAAGGGATATTGAAAATAGTCATTACTATTAACAGATTTGGCCTAGAGTCTAATGAAAACATTTTGTGCCACCATTTTTAAAACATACTACCCCACATATTATTTTGTGTATAAAATAAAAACTTTTAAAAAAATCACCAAATGCAGAAAACAGATCAATAGAGGGAAAGCATTCCATAATTTTACAGTGTTATTACTTGAGTTTGACAGATTTTCAATCTCTTATACAACAAATACACCACCCTGTAATTTGTTTTACTTATCCCTCCTCCAAGCTTACAGAGAAAAAAAAAAGGATTGGTTTTATTACCCAAACTATAATACATATTTTCATTTTTTTCATCCCACTATCACCACTGTGACTTGCCAAGAACTTCGTTCATAACCTCCTACTTGACTTCCTATAAAATATGACCTACTTCACATCAGCTTATTTCAGTAACAATTCCTAGACTTTAACCACACCTTTCATCCAAGGATGCTCTCTGCAAATCCTAAGGCACAGCAATCCTGTGCAGATGTGGCAAGTTATTACAATTCCCATTTTACTACATAGTTAGGAAATTGGCCCAGGGGAAGTAGAGTAACTTGGAAATAATCATAAAGCCAGATGCCAAGAATAACAACTTTTAGTCAATCCATGAGAAAATACTGCCCCTAGTTGAAATAACATGAAATTTAGTATTAGGAGGAAGCAAAAAACGTTTTAAAGCCACATCCTAGGTTTTCAAACTTTATTTTTTAAAATGACCCAATCCTAGAATTAGGATTTGTAAGAACTTTCAAACACACCATTTTTCCCTAATACCTTATCCATCCAGAGTGCCAAAGATTATTTAATGAAGTACAGCTGGCAAGAGTGGCTTTTCTCCCAAACCATTTTTTATCTTACCCTTTTAAAGACACTGATAGAAAACTGTTGTTATCAGACAATAGGTAACTTTTTAATAAACCTAACTACTTAAATAATCTAATATAAAGCATATTTAAGAACAGATCTGAAAATACCACAAGTGAGCTTCTATTTTGTTCCTGAAAATACACTCTGCACACCCACCATCTGCAATATGCATGGACAATAAATTTAAAGCTTTAATAGTCGATAATCAGAATGAAAGTGTCCCAACCATAACTCATCCCGTATGTTTCTAAATATGTTGCTGTTTGATATAACTTAGTAAAAGCAATGTTTTATATGATCACAAAACAAAGGTCTTAATTGAATTTAGAAACAAAAAACACAACACGGTTTGTAAAAGTGGCTTTTATGTTTGTGTGATCATTCCTACATGTACAAGTCAGAACAAAATACCTTCCATTATTACACCATATTTACGCTTTTGTTTAGAGTCAGAAAAAGCGTACTCAAGATTTTACCTTCAAAAGAATGATTATGCTCAAAGAACAAGTACGGGACACAAATGATTATGAGTAAAATCCACTCATGGAACCCAGACTGCAAATTTTCACAAAACCCTCACATATCAATTATGAAAAAAGATTTTCCATTAATTAAAATCAAACTACTAATTCTAATCACAGCCTTCAAAAAAAAAAAATGTTTAACAACATTCCTCACACTAAATCTTGTACATCCTCTACTAGGAGCACTTTATGTAGAACTTTAGTTTATAAAGCAAATGACACTCCAAATGATTTTGTGGGTAACACAACTTCCAAACTTAGTGATCAACTAGTAAGGGGGAAAAAAACAACTTCTGAAGAATATATTCAATCTAGTAATCCTGGTAAATTGAGTACTTCTTATCCCCAGCACCAGAATATTCAGGCTATTTAAATACACCACACCTCACTCCCCCCGCCACACACAACTCCCAGTTTTTACATTACCATAACAATAAGCACTCTGAACAATTTAAAGCTCCTTTAACATTAGAAGTGACTTTACCTTACTTAAGACTATTACTTAAATGTCTTTTAATTGCATTTGATTAATGCATTCCACAAAGATTCTAGAAGCAGTATTCATCAACCAGAAACTGCACTCTTAAGCGTGTTCCTCATTTCAACTCCAAAGATGGACAGAAGGGTTGTCACAAATCTACAGAGCAAAAGCACATAATTATAAACTATCTAATGATTAAGAAAAAGTAAAGCATTTATATCAAACTCCCAAGCAGGATGCCTCCCTTTTTCCTTAGCAGCAGGAATTACTGGTAAAATAACTAACTCCAGACCTATAGTCTAGAAAATGCTGAAATTTTCCCCACGAATATTCAGAAGTTTTTAACATCAAAATTCACGCTACTACTATTCACGTACCAAATGAATAGCCAATGTGGATACCTGAAACTAGTCTCACAAACCCAAAAGAAAAAAACCAAAACCAAAACCTCGCACCTCTTCTAACCTTCCTACAATACCCTCAGGTAACCCAGAAGCAAAGCTACGACAGCTGACCTTGGCCTAGGCCATCAGAAACGGCCTAAGGGCAGAGGGGGCGGGGGTGGAAGAGCAATAACCTAGAGACCAGATCTTTTTCCAAGGCTACCGTTTCCAAGCAAAACAGGGCCCAAAGAGACCGCGAAGAAAACTGGAGACACTGTAATCCCGAGAGAAAGGGGTGTGTGTGTGTGTGCGCGCGTGTGCGTACACACAATCCCAAGAGAAAAGGGTGCGGAACGCCGAGGAGAAAACTAAGTATCCCCACGCCTCTTTAAGACCCACAAAAACAACAACAAACCGTAGGATCTGTCTGCGCGCAGAAGCAGCACCAGATGGAGTCCCCGCGGCTGAGACAGTTCAGCCGACACACTCCGTGGGTACTGGATAAATCAACCGATGACGGGAGGGGAAGGGGGTGCCAAGCGAATAAGCCACTGAATGGGCGAGACAAAGACTCTGGGAGTGATCAAGTACCAAACAGAAAGGTGAGAGGAAAACACGTGAGAAAAATAATGGAAGAAAAATTAAAAGACAGAATCTGGTGCCTGGGCTGTGGCAGGTCACTGAAGTACGGAACAGCGAAGGGCACAACAAAGGGGCACGGGAGGAAGGACAGCTGAGGGGAGGAGATGAAAAAGGGATGCGGGGCGCGACGGGTCGGACAAAGCGCCCAAGGCGGTGAAACAAAGGGCCCGGGGTAGAGAGTCGCGGGGGGCAGCGGGGAAAGACAAAGCGCCCGGGGCCGGGGACACCCGCCCGGCGAGGAGGCGACGACCGCCTGGGGGAACAAAGCTGAGAGGGGCCAGGAGGCCGGGCCCGCGGGCGGCGGCGCAAGAGGCGCGCGACCCGCACGGCGCCCGCGGGCCCCGCGCGCCCGGCCGCACTCACGCCCGCACCC